ATCTCGATGTGTATGTGAGGAAAGAGGACGTGAGAAGGCAAGGAGAGAAGAGTGAGGGAATAGCAGGTGGGAGCAGGAATATGTCGAGGTTGCATGAAATCAAAGTCCATGGAGGGGGCACATACAGTATCTTGCTCTCCACTTTCGAGCTCAACAACATAGGTCTTGTCTTCATTCTCAGACAATATCCTGGCCACAGAGAAATGTCCTGGCAGGTACTCGTACATTTCCTTCTCTTGCTCTGATAGTTTGGGCACCTCGATATAGAAATGCTTCTGGAATAGGCTAACTGACAGATTGTCGCCATTCTCGTTCTCTTGATCCGAGGCTGACTGTTCCGAAGAAACATGCCTGCCAAAGTCCTCCTGATGTGCATTCACATCGTCGTGCAAAATATCCCCGACTTCGCCAGGTTCATCTGAGAGAGACGGGTCTGCTGGTAGCCTCGGCGCGTCCACTTGCTGATCAGGAGCATCTTCATCGGATCCTTCCCGCCTGCTCGGTCTCTTCGGTGGTTTGCGAGTCCAGCTGGTGAGATCTATACCCTTCATGTTCGACTGTGGCCAGTCGTAGGGTGGCAGACGGTTGGGTGGGGGGCATTCGTCGAGTCTGTTGAGGTCGGCAACTGGGAAGGTAGATCAAACGGGACGTGCTGTGAAGTTCTCGAGGCGGTAGAGGCTCTCGGAGAGCCACATGTCGCACATAGATCTGGATTATACAGGGAAGTGAGAGTGTGGTAAGGAAATCGCAGTTGTAGACAAATCAGATTGCACTCGAAAGTGAGAGCCTCGTGGGTGAGAAGTGAACGCGCTCCGCGTCGCCTGCGACTAACGACAATTTTATTTCTCCAACTTTTACAGCATTCAATTCCCCTTCACTTTGTCCGCAACTTGACTCACAGCAGTCTTTCCGTCATCGACCGAGTCGTGAATGCTACAATTCACTCGCCGTATCCTCCGCTTTCCCCGTGCCATTAAATCCATCTCCACCCATGGGTCTCAACCTGCACGCTGCATTTCGTTGACTGGCGCAATTGAAAAGGGAATTCGGAGGGGTCAGCAAAGCAGGAACAACCTACAAAACCATTATACAAAGCCCACTGCAGAGCCTCAGCAAGACCGGGATCATCTGTCGGACTCTTTGAACATAGAAGGAGAGGATGGGCAGAAAAAGGAGGTCATCATACCAGGCGAAGAAAGGCGGAGAGGCCAGAAAAGACGCAAGGGTCCCAGAACTGTACAACCAGGGCAGGATGTGAAAGGCACGAGATCGGCGCGCTCTGACAGGGACGTTCCAGCTTCGATCCCCTACACGACAGCGGGATCGGAATTTCTGTACGGGACATTTTCCGTCTTGTCTGCTCTCACAGCTCGGCGACGAAAGCTCCACAAGCTCTACAGGCTGCTCCCTCCAGGCTATGACAAACAGACGAAGAGGGCCAAAGCACTCCTGCCCAAAGAGTCTTTGGAGCAGATCCAAACTCACAAAAAAATCCATAGCCTTGCTGAAAAGGCCGGGATAGACGTTACGGCGGTTCAAGGACCTCGCTGGCAAGGTGTCTTCGCCAAAGCGTCGGATGGGCGACCACATAACGGCTGGATCCTGGAGGCCTCTCCAATTCCGAAACTGCCTGTGACTAGCTTGTCACCAGTACCTCAACCGTCCGACTCGATCGCTGTCACAGTCGGTTGGGCATCTGAAGAGGATCGAGAGATCAACACCGTTTTCGGTGCGTCTGGAAGCAAAGCCACAATCCCATCTGTTCGACCCTCGAATCGGTATCCTTTCATGCTCTTGCTTGATTGTGTCACGGACACCGGCAACTTCGGTGCTATCGTTAGGTCGGCTTGGTTTTTGGGGGTCGACGCTATCCTCATCCTTGAGCACGGGACTGCACCCATATCAACCAACAGTGTCAAGGCTTCTGCCGGAGCCTTTGAGTACATGCCCATTCTTCATATCAAGAACGAAAGAGAGTTCATCAGAGACTCGCGGAAAAATGGATGGAAGTTCTTCGCTGCCGATGCACCGGAAGCTGATGGGGGAATGATGCGGCGGATCATGCAACAAAAGGGACAGAAAGCTTTGGGTGTTGCAGGCTCGTTATCGAAACATCCTTGCGTCCTGGTTCTCGGTAATGAGGAGACTGGTATTCGAGAGTTTATGCGGACAATGGTGGATGGTGTCGCAGGGATTCCGAATGCCAGACCTGATGTGGGAGATATTGACAGCCTCAACGTCAGTGTGGCTGCAGCTTTGCTTACCCAAAAGTTTTTTGACACAGCTCATCCCGAGCTTGATACAGGTCGTCAAAGCCACTCGGATTAACCTCGTCGTCGACGAACTCCACCTCCTCAGCAAGCAACTCTAAGGGGACCTATGGATGTACACTCCCGGAGGCCACATCTGATCCTGCTCTCAGTGTCCCGAGCAGTCTGTCGTCCTTGAAAACGGCGTCTTGTGCTTCACCACTCCACTCTTGTCTCGAATCAGCAGCACTTCGAGCCAGATCGGCGAGCATCATTTGACAAGTGCCCTCTGCGTGCCCGGGCAGATACAAGGGAAGTTTGAGAACTTGCACGAATGTGGCCGACTGATCCACCGTAATGCCATGCGGTAACGCAACCTGCCCTCCAGTGTCACTTTTCATGCCCGGGGTTCAAATGCTTCCACAAGCAGTTTTCATTGTTCATGTTTTGCTCCTTCGGGAATATTCATTACGTTTGCGAACTCAAGGCGCCCCTGCTGGGGAGGGGCCAGCATGGACATCTCTGGAACGACATATCCACATATATAAACATTCATATCATCGTTTCCCTGACCCAATTTTTGTCTTGTCTTCTCTTTTCGCCTCAAACGCCTCATGCAGCACCGGGGTTGGTGTCTTCCCGCGTTCCTGCTTCTGGAGCAGGTTTGATCAGCATCATATCTCGGCTGTTCCATTTGCTCCGTGATGTGCAAGCCCGCCATGGGCATGGAAATCTGTCTCTGGCGTGGCGTTGCTCCCGTCGGTTTCATCTCTCTCATCCTTCAGCTTTTGAACAGCATCGACAATTTTCCTCCTGCGCTCCGCTATCGCTCTCATTGCATCCTTCAGGATATTATCCAAGTGGATGTGAGCAGGTTGTTGTCTATTTCTCCTGAATAAGCCAGCGAATGCTGCCACGGCTGCCTCACCATTGCCGAATCTTCTCGGCACTGGGTTCCAGTGCTGCAATTCCGCCCCATTCACAACCCCGTCATTACACCTAGTTCTCAAAGTTCCCTGCTCTGCCATCAGTGCTTCTAGGAACGTGGCTTCAAAGGCCGCTGGATATTGAGCACGGTTGAAGTCCTGAGTGCCCGCGAACGGTCTTCTCAAGTCCAATCCCAGCTGTGTCAAGCGTGCATGAAGTCTCAAGCCTAAAGTTAACAGTTGTTTGTCGCCACAGTACGCTAGCTCCTGCATCACACGCGAGAAAGTGAGATACATGAACTCGACCATGGATCTTCGCTCGCCTTCAAGCGGGTCAGCAGATGTCTTAGGGTGATCAGGCAACGGGAAAGGGGTTTAAGGGACCACTAACGACTAATGGTACTTCGCAGCGGTTCTATTTCGCAGGCGAATTCGACTTTGGAATTCCACACCACAGCATCAATATATTCCACGAGCATCTGATCAAGATCCTCACCCAAGACGAACGCGATGATGGTGAGATATGCCGCATCATTTACGGCGGGCTCGAAGTCGTTGCTCAATACTGACTCGCTGATACTCCGTTTCAATGCCCGCCAGTCTGCCTGATCACAACGGTACGTCCAGATGGTGATGCAGATTTGGGTTATCCACTTCAAGAAGCCGTCTTGGTGCTGATTTTTTGGAGCGTGATTCCCTGTCGTCAAATGGTTGATGACATACTTGAGAGAGCCAGCGGTCATGCCACTGTCTCTGCTGGGGACTAAATGGGAAGGGTCTTCTAGGATGATGCGGCGGTGAAGAATTGGATAAATACTGAGGTCGTCCAGCCCTCCCACGGTTCCCGTTCGAAGGTCTTGTACGAGGTTGAGGAGGTCTTGCACATTTTGTGGATCGTTCCCGTCCCAGGCGGTTAAGTCCTCCTCGAACAGTGGATGTTCTCCCACGGCCCATCTTTGCCTTTCGAAGCTATGCATTTCTCGTCGCTGGGTGTGGGCAGGGTGACGGCTCCCCGAATTCATCTTTATAAACAAAGATCGTCTCCGAAAGCTAACGACATGCAGATATCTACATGCATCTGTCACCAGATGGCACGAGATAAGAATGATGAGCGCGTCAGAGGCCGGACGAGATGGTTAATGAATGCAGATGGTGTCAGCCACCAAAATGCTGGCGCGAGCAGGGGAGGCACTCACTGGTAAGGAAAGCCGTTTCGCAACCTTGCCATTGGTTCTGACGTGGGATTAGAACTGCCTATATTATTGGTGGCTGGACAAGAACTAGCAAGAAAGGGAGGGTGTGTGTGGAAGCTGTAAGGCAACGAAAGTGCCAGGCAGACGGTTCCTTTCTAAAAAGCCTCGCCGCTGACAGCCACACTGTTGTTGACACCAGCAATTGTCCCACAAGGCTAGTTTCTCCGAGAGACATTTTCTTGAGGCTTGGGGAGGGATCGACCGCTCTGCTCACTCGGAGACAAGGAAAACGGCTTGCCCTGGGACTCACACCAAGGCGCACACCATTGATGGAGGCGAAGTCCTTACCTGGTCACAAAGGTTGGCCGCCGCCCCTCTCAGCATACAGCCCAATAACACGAGTCGAACAGGCAGCCACGCAGCAATCCGGGATCACACAGATTGACACTGGCGACCTATCGCTAAGCCAGTACGAATAGGGGATAAGTGGCATTATCAGCCCAGAGGCTGGATTCTCCTCGTCGAGAAGTGCTTGCAGCCCAACTCATATATGAGCCACCTGTCCCAGGTTTGCTATCACCTGAACAGGCATCCTCACTTTTTACTTACCTGTCCGACGAGCAGAGTAAGATATGGCAACTGAAGAGGTCTTTACTTTTGGCCCGGTGCCAGCTACCCCTCGACCGAATGCGACGGTGACATACGAGGAGTTGAAATTACAACCAGAGCGCTACTTTCAGGAAAGTTCTCTTGATGGCAAGCTGACTTGTCACGGCCTCATTTTCTGACTTACCTATAGGGAGCTGATATCGGTTTTATGATAGTGGCAGCTGCTCAAGTCTACTTCATGATCCCCGGGCTGTGCCTCCATTTCTCTGGTGTTTCGAAACGGGACTTTACGCTCACCTTGGTCCGTCTTCCACTGATTACCACGGGTGTGGTAGGATGCGTGGTAAGTATTGGGTGTACCAATTCCCCTGTGGCATCAACGCTGTGTCTGACGGTATATAGTGGTATCTATGGGGATACGCTCTTGCATTCTCTCCCGCAACATATAACTCAGCTGATCTGCAGGGTGTCTCCTGGTATGGCGGAGATACAAGAGCAAATGCATATATTGACGTTACCGCTCGACCCGTTGGTATACAAGGTCCTTCTCCATTGGTTCTGTCGGGACCAAAGATTCCAGAGATGGTCTATGTCTTCTATCAGGGCATGTTTGCATGCTTCACGTGAGTCTCCCTTGGACGATTTGCTGAATCAGATAGTTAACGCTGGTCTGCAGAGCAAGCCTGGTGTCGGCCGGAGCGGCAGGCAAGACTCGTGTCGGTCGATACCTTCTTTTCATTACCTTGTGGACAACTCTTGTTTATTGTCCTGTTGCCCGGTGGACATGGCATCCTCTAGGCTGGTCCAAACTCAGGGGAGCAATGGACTTTGCTGGTGGTACCGCTGTGCACGTCTGTTCTGGTTCCTCAGTCGCTGCTCTTGCCACCATTTCACAATTCGAAGCCGCAAATTGGCAGACGATGCTCGTCCTTCGAAGACAGACTTTTGAGATCGATCTGAAGACGTGGAAAGTCTGGAAATGGCTATCTATGAGAAATCGCACTGCCCGCAGCGAAGTCGAATTGAGAACGAATTTCCCCGAGACAGAACACGCCGTCAATGGACACGCTCGAGGGCCACGGCCACAAACTCCTCCGGAGAGGCCGGCAGCCAGCCTGGACCGCGAAACGTCGAGTTTGCCTTATAGCATCAACCATATGACATTGGGCACCTGTTTGCTTTGGGTCGGATGGTTTGGCTTCAACGGCGGTTCGGCCCTTGGGGCGAACCTTCGTGCCGTGTCAGCTTGCTTAGCAACACAGGCTGCTGCCAGCGCAGGAGGCACAATTGGATTACTCTTTCACTGGGGGTTGGGCTGGCTTGATAAGAGGGTATCGACTGAACCAGACACCTTGATCCATATCCCGTCAATTCAGGAGTTCTGTGACGGTGTGATTGCTGGGCTGGTTGCCATTACTCCCGCTGCCGGATACGTGAGTTGCCTTGAGCTCCTGGTTTCTCCGAGGAGCTGCCCGGACATTGACTGACTTGTTGCAGGTACCTGTCAAATATGCCCCCATCTTTGGCGTTGTCGGTGCCATTCTCTGCAAGATTCTGAGGATGGTCATGTATAGCGTCTTGCCGGCAGATAAATTGGCCATCTTTGCCGTCCATGCTGGTGGTGGAATCATTGGAATGCTACTTACAGCCTTCTTTGCAGAGTAAGCCCCTGCAAACAAAGTACAGAGATTTGTTCTCATCGCTGACGCTGGCCCTTGCAGTGATGACACTACCGGTCTTGACGGGTATTCGAGGCTGGTTGACAAAACAATGGGTGCTAGGTTCCGGTCAGTCTGCGTACAAACCGGTGCTCGGCTGAGTGCATACTGACCTATTTATAGAGACCAGGCACTGGACGTAACTGCTTGTCTTTTCTACTCATTCACGATGACCTTCGCGATCCGGATGGTCCTGAAGCTTGTGGAGGTCTTGTGCGGCGCCACAACTCCTCCATCCAACGACCGGTTTGACCATTACCCAGACACTTATGAAGCTCGCCCTCAGTTCAAGCGAAGAAGGTCGCCCGACCAAGTGGTGTGAAGGCTGGTGTCTGAAGGAGCGAAACAGCGAGACCCGAACCCCCAGAGCCGTCCGAGCTCGGTGCTTACCAACTGTATGATCGTTGTGAGACCTCAAGACGAGTGGCAAGGAAAAGAGTCAGGTATCTAGACCAGGCGACGGAAGTAATAATAGTGACAAGGCGCAATATCTAAACTTTGAGTCCACAGGGCGAGACACGTTTTCTAGGGGCGCTTCCAAAGCGAAGGCAAGGGGAGGGGGTCAGACCATGTGCTGTTCGCCTATGTTGTTTTCTCAGCCTCAAAAAGGTATCAGAGTCCCACGGACTATTCTGGATCTGTGCTAGCGACGTGACGGGGGTATGTGATACGACTGGAAAAGGACGAACTCAACCCCTGGACACGACACCGCCTTTCTATCTCGACTGCCACTATTGCTCGCCTCTCAGGCTGGATAAGAATCTTCCAAGCCCGGGACTTGACACGGATTCCCTGTTCTTTGTCTGAGCAAGCAAGGGATAGGGCAACCTTCTTCTCTGCAAGATGATGGAGGAGGCGCCGAGCACATGAACCATCGCGATACCGACTATTCCCTCGCTCGTCACGACCAAAGTTCCTTCCAAAGAGCCCTGATCAAATCGGGAGTTGTTCAGCCAGCCACCAGAAGTCTAGCCGCCAGAGTCAATGGACAATATACCGCCTCGAGTATTTTGCTGGTTCGCGACCCAGTCCCGCGCTCGTATTCACCCTTGGCAGCGGCGCAAGTGGATCGGGTTCTTGTTGCCTTTCAGCCTAATGAGTTGACACAAAGGATGCTGATGAGGACTTGGAAGTGAGCCTGTGGGCGGTACCCTGTGCCTTACTACAGAGGCTGTGGTTGAGGTCATGGGTGTTCTCTTGAGGATCCCATGGAAGAGCACTGTGTGTACTCCTACTCACTGTGGGAAGGGGTAGGACTGCCTCTACTATACGGAACTCTGGCCATACAAACTTCCCTCCCACAAAGCTTAGAGAGTGGCTTCTAACTCTACGAGCCAAGTGAGTGAGTAACTTGGACGTCCATCATGGTAAGTCCCCCCCAGCATCCACCAACACAGCAATACTCCAGACGTTCAGGTGGAGGTACTAACACCCTTCAATTCCAGGATGTCACTTCGGGATGCAAGTGCCATTGCGGCAAATCGATCCCCTGGAAATGGGCTGCTCGATGCTCTAGGACCAGACAATGTCCCGACTATTACTCGCTCCACTGCCACAAGGACGACTGCAATCTCAAGGAATGCCGGTTCCACGGCCACTGCTGGGATGGCCACCTCCCCAAAAGCTCCAAGCTGGCAGCCTCGCACGTCCCGGTCGGGATGACGGTGCAGCATCTGTTGGTCAGGGACATCATTCACTCCGAAGACCAGACAGAGACGTTGAGGCAGCTGCACGAACAGAATGCCGCCACGCGATGGTTCAACATCCGCCATCGCAACTCCCAACCAGTTCTGTATGTCTACGATCGATTTGGACCCCTGTGTGAACCGATGGGCGCCGATCCGACAACATCTTCAACTGCAGCGACGTTTCCCACCTTTGTCTCCTTCATCGGCAAGTCCGGGGTGGGCAAGTCCACGTTGGTGAGGGCGATGCTCTTGTTAGGGAATCTCAACATCCAACAGGTCCAAGACGACGACATTTACAACCTCTCCACGAACCAAAGCCGAGTGGACACCATCGTGGCTGCCATATCTTCGCAGCAGGAGATGCCAGTCACCCGGTCGGGCCACGTCGACCACGCCGCAGACCCAACTACGCTGGGCGTCCATCTCTACAAGGACGAAAAGGGCTCGAGCTCGAACTCCGGCTCATCCACGGACGCCACTGATGGCTTCACCTTGTTTGCCGACTGCGAGGGGTTCTTTGCTGGGCCGGCCCAAACAAATGCCGAACGATTCACCGCAGATCAAGGCAACAGGGCCAGAACGGCCACGCCGACGACCACCAATAATAACAACCATAGTATCGCCAACGAAGACGCCACGGAGGCCAATGTCCTGTACAAGGCGCCCGTGACGGCAGCCAGCTACGCGCGGCACGGCCAGCAAGGGGCCGAACTGTTCTACGCACGATTCCTCTACGCCGTCAGTGACGTCGTCGTCTTCGTCACCAACGAGGACCAAAACATCACGCTGCTGCTCGTCAACGCACTCGAGTGGGCCGCCACCGCCGTCATGCACTCGGTCAACTACCCGTCGCGCAAGACGCTCATAATCGTCCGCAACGGCGCCCTCGGTCACAGCCGCCAGTTCGTGGACAACGAACTGCTTGAGCGGCTCTATTTGGACCGCCAGGCCTTTCTGTGGAAGTCCTCGTCCATCCTGCAGGACTTTGTCGACGACTACAACAGCCGGCAAGACGGGTTCAGCAAGCACATTTACCGGAACCGCGACCTCTACGACGCCCTGTACGACAAGATCGTCTGCTGCTGCATCCCCCACGTCAACGACATTGATGAACGCGGCGACGAAACCATGTTCTCGCAATACCTGAAGCTGCGGACCCAGATCGACGAGGCCTCGCAGCGAGCGATCAGCATGCGTTCCAAGGGCTGGATGAAGTACAACGTCTCGTCCCTCTCGCAGATCCTCTTTTCGGCCTTTGAACACTTTCGCACCAATGACGGGGCCTTCAATTTCAACGAAGTCGCCCGCATCAGCAAGCCCAATCCGCAGTCGTTCTCCGATCATGTCGCCAATTTCATGCGGCTGGCACTCGAGTCTTCACCATCGGGCACGGCGCGGACAATGATACCTGATATTATCGGGCTGAGTTTTGTTGTTTGGGCTATGAGGAGTCTCATCCATGGTAAGAGAACATGTTTCCTCCGAGTTATTTTGGCTGTGCCGGTCACCAGTTGGCGTCCCTTGACTGAAATGCTGCTGTAGTGGTGGACCCAGCACACCTCTTCGACCGCTTTAGCGACAGTGAAAAGGAAGAATTCTCCCTGGCGCAACACTGTCACAGCGCCCTGCAAGAGTACCAAGAAAAGTACCAGCAATGCGGGTACAAGTTCTCAGAGAACGACTTTTGCACCAACGGCCCGGATACTGCCCACCAACGGCTCCATCTGTCGACGTCCAAAAAGAGAGCGGACGGGGGATTCACACCGAGACATCACTTGGACACCAACTTGGTGAGCGCTATTCGAGCTCGATTCTTGGTCCACTATGAAAGCGTGGTGAGTGACGACGGGACCGGGCACCGGTCGATGACGAAGCCCGCGTCAGGCAAGATCAGGAGAGTTCGACAGGCCGTCATGCAAAAGTACAATGGGCAATGGACCCGGATGACCAGCAACATCACCTGTCTGGCTTGCCTGCAGGCGGTGCCCGAGAATGTCCTGCACTGTGGCCACGGATACTGTGTCCAATGTGTCCGCGAGCTGGGACGGCCGTCGGAGAGCTTCGAATCGGCGTGGACATTCGAGGTCTGCCCACTCTGCAGTGCGCGCATGGGCGACAACTATTCCCATTTGATCAGAGAAAGACCGCGGTGCGCCGGCGTGCGCATACTGACCCTGGACGGCGGCGGCATTAGGGGCATCATCGAACTTGCCATTATCCAGGAGATGGAGAAGAGGCTGGGCCTGCCGATTCCCTTCCGCGACTATTTCGATCTTGTCGTCGGAACCAGCACCGGTAAGTAGTTGTCGTCCTAGAGCAAGACACGATGAAGAAATACTTATCGTCTGGACAGGTGGAATCATCGCACTGGCGCTGACAATGGGAGATCGAGATGCCAACACCCAGACCAGCCTGATGACGGAGGCTTTCAAGTCGTTTGCGTCCTCGACCTTTGCCCACCCGCGAGCGGGCAGCCTCCTGACGAAGATCGGTCTGGGCCACTTTGTCACGAGCGTGGTCATGTCCTTCGGCCTGTACCAGGCCCTGTTTGACTCGACACCGCTGGAGACCGGGCTCAAGAAGTTCTTCGGCACGCAGACCAGTCTCTTCGGGTCCGCGCGCACCCGCCATCATCAGTGCTCGACCCGCGTCGCCGTGGTTGCGACCAAAGAATTCGGGAAGCGAGCACACCTGATCACGAGCTACAACCGACCGAATCTGGGACCGGGCAGCGACTTTGAGCGCGAAGACGACGAGAGCAAAGGGATGCGGATCTGGGAAGCCGGACTGGCCACAGCGGCCGCGCCGTTCTATCTGGCCCCGTTCAAGAAGGCCGAGACGGGGATCCTGTACTTTGACGGGGCGTTGCACATGAACTGCCCGGCGCCCGGGGCCGTCGAGGAGATCAGGAAGCTGTGGCCGGAGCCGCACAGCCCGTCGCTCGACGTGCTCGTCTCGGTCGGCACGGGCATCCAGGAGTCCGAGGTCAAGATCCCGCGGGCGATCCGCATCGGCGGCTTCGAGGAGATCTGCCGCACGTTCCACAGCAAGCTGGACTCGGAGAACCAGTGGCAGGAGTTCACCGCGAGCGGCGCGACCGACGGCATCCGCGACCGCCTGCACCGCCTCAACCCGCCCATCGACGAGCACCTGCAGAAGGTGACCCTGTGGCAGTGGAACAAGATGGCCAAGCTGGAGGACATGGTGCAGCGACAGATGCGCGAGCCCGAGTGGCGCGCCCGGCTCGACAACGCCGCCAACACCCTGCGGGCCAGTCTGTTCTACTTTGAACCGGACGGCGAAGCGACTTCCTCGTCGTCGTCGTCGACAAACAACCTCACACCCACGGGCACACGGCACGTCAACAATAATCACAACAACAACAATAACCACATCAACCCCGAAATCCAAGGCACGATCCGCTCGCGCCTCCGGCACGGCAGCGCCGAGCTCGCGCGCCTTCTCACCCGCGTCACGGGCTTCTTCTACACCACGCTGTCCATGTCGCGCGGCAGCCCGTGGTCGCTGCTGCAGCACGACCCGTGGACCGAGATCACGGCCTTCGCCGCCGTCAAGGACGCCGTCATCCAGTCGGGCCAGCGGTTCCGCGTCCCCGTCCGCCTCGACGAGCCGT